TGTATTTTCTGCCTATAATTATGGATATATCTCTTTTTATCTATCCCAAGAAACCCAAAAATCTAATCACCAGATGTTGAACATGATATGTTTTTAAAACCTAGTTTGATCCTGCTGCAAATATGTGGAATCAAGTATGTGGGTCCTGATTCTGCCAATAACTTATATGTCTCACTGGGGATCAGCTCAAACATTCTAGTGCTTCTGAATTCCACGTGCTGTGTTTCTATTAGCAAATTATTCTGTCTTTTGCACTATAAATACTGTGGTCTTATCTACATAATCAACAACTGCACTATGAACAAAATTTCTTATGTTTAATTTATAGAGTATTCTTTGGGGACACAATAGATACCATTTGGTGATAAGAAAAACTAGAAAACAAGTCTTAAACTATTAAATCATGAATTAATAAGGGAGGAGACAAAAATAAGAGTAATTTTGAGTCATTTCTGTAATGAAAAGCAACTAATGAACCAATGAGTAGTAAAAGGAGGCAATAAGAAGAAAAGACATAAAGCCACAGATACACCTTCTGCCCAGTTTGTTGAAAACCATCTTGAGAGTGTGAAATGACAAAATCCTATGTATAATGTATAGGGCTTTTCCATATTCTCTTTGTTGCTTATTTTCTCTCCTCGTAAGCTGATGGTAAAAACTGAAATGTAAATGTAAATTGGTTTACCTAAAATATGTTTCCAGAAGAGGAATTGACCTGCTGACATTTAAAGGTTGACTGACTAATTCTGTCACGTTTCTGGGCCCTGTTCTTGACAGGTCTGAGTTTTAATTTACAATCTTTATGGACTGAATTGTGACCCCTGTCCTCAATTCCTACATTGAACCACAAATCCCAGGACCTCGGAATGTGACTGTAGTTGGAGATAGAGATGTTAATGAAGTTATTAAGTTAAAATAAAGCTGTTATGGTGGCCCTAATGCAATCTAACTGGTGTCCTTGTAGGAAGAGGAAATTTGAATACACAAGAGACACCAGGGATGGGCAAGAACACATGAAGACACCGTGAGAAGGTGGTCACCTGCTAGCCAAGAAGAGTTGTCTGGAGAAATCAAAAGACACTGATACACTGATCCTGGACTTCCAAACTCAGGACTGGGAGAAAGAAATCCTGTTAAGCCTACAACCCAGTTGTGGTATTTTGTTATAACAGCCCCAGTAAACTAATACAATATCTTGAAAAAACACCAGCTGTTAAAAAAGGACTCTTCAATAAAATGGGCTTTTTTCTCTTGTGTCATCATGCTGAGAGAAGCAGCATATATAGAGAAATCAATATGTTCCTTCCATATGAATTCAGATAATAAAGACTTGAACCATCAAAGGGGAGATTAAAGATGAAGTTCTTTAATAATCCAACATCAAGGTTATATATTTTAAAATCTTGATAAAATGTCTAAAATAGGATTACACATAGAAAGGGGCAGGACAACAGGGCAATTTATTGAAATAAGAGACAGGATAACCCAGGTACTATTTTCACAGTGCCTGAAGAAATAGTGATTAAGATTTTCGAACAAGGGCTAGGGTTGTGGCTCAGTGGTAGAGCACTTGCCTGGCATGTGTGAGGTACCGCATATAAATAAATGAATAAAAAAAAGGCCCATTAACAACTAGAAAATACCTATTAAAAAGAACCTGTGAATGACCTGAATATCAGAGTAGATGGATATGTATCACTGGGCAGGCTAATCCTCTAATATCTAACATGCTACAGGAAAAGTATTAGTAAACTAATAAACCTTTTCTTTTTAAAAATATATTTTATTTCTTCTAGTCATCCACTTTGTGTTTCTGTGATGGATTTAAAAGAGGGAAGTTTGAACTGATAAAATAAGCAACTAAAAATTTATCTTTATCTAATAAATTGTCAAATGCTGATTTAATACATAGTTTGACATAAATGTGTGCTAAACTGTTTCTTTTTACTTTACATATTACGTAAGATAATTTACACTGTTTCTTCTAAAATAGAATTTACATCATTTTTTTCTTTATATAGATGGAAACACATACTTAAGCCTGAAAGCTTTTACACGTGATGGTTGTTCATAAACCAACTCTGGGGTTTTATGTTTTATGTAGTCTCTTAAAAATCAACATTTTTTTTTGCTTCCAAAAGCTGTATTTCTTCTTTAAAATTATTATACTGACATTATCAGTGCTAAAAAAGAGATTATCGGTGTAAAAGTAAAGTTGATCAGGATCGTCTGCTTGGGGCCACCTATCATCACCCACTATGATCCAATTTATAAGTTACTGACCAATGGTTCAGTGCTTTGAAGAAGATCCTCTGGTTGGGGGAGATCCATTCATTTCCTGTGACTTTTGGAACACAAATTTAATGGATTAAAATAACAGATTTATTCCTTTGTAGTTCTAGAAGCCCAGAAGCCCAAACCTGTTTCACTAGGTTAAAGTTAAAATAATAGCAGAACTAACCAGCTGGAGCCTCTCAGGGGAGATCTGTTTCCTGTTTTTAGAGCTTGCCTTTCTTGGCTTATGGTCCCTCCCTCCATCTTCAAAGCCAGAAACTTAGCATCTTCCATTTCTGCTCTGGCCACATCACTTGCCTCTTTGTAGTGAAATTTCCCTTGTCCTCTCTTGTTAGAGTCTGTAAACAGGTCAGGATGGCGCCTGGCATTTTGCCAGAGGGAGTGGTTTGTGAAGTAACACCAACGAGCCATTAAGTGTGGAGATTCCTTATTGGTTGACTGCTGTATCTAGTTTATGTTAATTAGATAAGCTGTGTGGAATATATATACCCCTCGGGTCCTACAATAAACGGCTCCTACTCCTGCTGTATCAACGTACACAAGTTGTTCGTCACCCCCCGGTTATTTTGCTGCAGCCGGACTCCGGCACTCTCTCTTATGAGGACTCTTGTGATTACACAGGGCACACATGAATAATCCAAAATAACCTGTCCATCTTGAGATCCTTGGCATCGCTACAGCTGCAAGTCCACTTTGACATACAAGTACCGTTCACAGGATCCAGGGACTGGGATGTGGCCATATATTTAGGAGGCTGATATCCACCCTACAGCAGGCGATATGCTGGGGGTGGGATGGGGATGGGTGAAGGCTGGAAAAGCTCTTATGTGATGCTCTCAGATAGTAATAACATTTATATATTAATGCTCACTATGTGCCTGGCAGGCACCATCCTGAACCCTTTACACAGATCAGCTCATTTAATCTTTAGAATCCTGGAATCAGAACCAGTGCTTATTGGTACACATTGATGGGTCTGTGTAAGTAGTTCTCAGCATGACCAATAGGTCATTGCCCACACCCAAAGCCACTTGACCAGAAAGCGGCAGAACCAGAATTTACGTCTGGACTCTGGCTCTAATGTTCGAAACATTAAGTATTTTTGCTCTCCTACAGTTCTTGACCCTCATCATTTAAGAAACAACAGATACAAAGAAATGTTGACAGGTGATGATTTCATCTGAAGGCACCGAGAACCCTGGAACTTACAAGTTTGAAAGGGTTTGATAGTTTATGTTATTACTCATCTCACTCCATAGTTGAAGAAACCAAGTTCTGTTTTTTTTTTTTTTTTCGGATTTGAACTCAGGGGCACTAAACCACAGATCCGCATCCCCGGTCGTATTTTGTATTTTATTTAGAGACAAAATCTCACTAAGTTGTTTAGGGCCTCACTAAGTTGCTGAGGCTGGCTTTGAACTTGCAATCCTGCCTCATCCTCCCAAGCCACTGGGATTATAGGCATGTGCCACTGCACCAGGCATCAAGGTCTGTTTTGAAATTAAGAAATAAATTGAGAGATTTGCTAAAGGTTACACAACTGGGACAGCAAAGCCATTTGGGGACATGTTCCCCTAAAATTCATATCTTAAAGCCCCAATCCTCTGTACTTCAGAAGACAATTGTGTTTGGAGACAATCCCTTTAAAAAGGTAACTGAGGTTAAATGAGTCCTATAGGTTGGGGCACCTGTAATCTGTTAAGGCTGGTGTCCTATAAAATTAAAAAAAAAAAAAAGACAAGAGGGGTGTGCATGCACAGAGAAAAGGCCACATGAGGACAGTGACAAGGCAGCTATCTGCAAGGCAAGGAGAGAGGTCCCAGGAGAAACAAATCTTAATGACACCTGGATCTTGGACTTCTGGCCTCCAGAAGTGTGAAAAAAATAAATTTCTATTGTTTAATCCATTCAATCTGTGAAATTTTATTATTGTAGCTCTGGAAAACTAATACACCCGAGGTCAGCTATGGGCCTGAGAAACTGTTTAGGCTGAAGGCAGCTAGTCCATGATCCAAATTGCTGGAACTTTTCACAGCAAAAAGTAAAATTTCTAAGTAATTTTCAATATTCATAAAAGCCCCAAGGAAATGTACAAAATTGGAGCTAATAAAAATTCCAGATTTCAAAGCTTTTGGATGGAATAATACCAAATCAATATGGTATCATGAATTATCTCAAACTGGCCTGAAATTTAATTAGGAACATATGGTTTTAGTTAATTTAAAATTTAGAAATTATATATCATTTAAGAAAGGTGACTCATGTGATAAACAAAAAACTCAGGTTTTTTGATGAGGAGAAGACTGAGCAAGAACCACTGCTTGAAGCCCTCAATTCCTTTTTTGGATCCTCCAAGAACCATGCTGCTTAATCCTCTTTACATTTCTAGAACTCTTTTGGGGACAAACTGAGCAAATTATGTGGCTTTAGTCATCTGTCACAACAGGGGTGTTGAAAACCATTGTTTTCAAATCTGGGAGCATCACTAATATTTGCTGGATGCAGTTTGATTATTTTCTTGAGAGTCAATGAAATGATCTCAAAATAACAATAAATGGGGAAAAAAAAACCCTCATAAAACAGGTGGCTAGACTTTGCTCTTTAATCTAACAGAAGCAAAATTAAAGCCCCAGGGCACCCAGTGCCTGTACTAGGGCATCCAGTGCCCTCAACAGAATGCATCTGAAAGTTAGAGAAACAGTACATTAAGCAGAAATGTACATTTTATTTAAAAACAATAGCAAAGGTATGAAGAACACCGACTTCTATGAAGAACAGAAGTTTATTAAATGCTTTATAGTAAAATATTGAGCCCACTCTATCACAATACACAGGCTTGATGTTCTAATAATTAGCACAGTACCTCAACTGAGGAAAGCTCATGATGCAAACGTGGGTGGAACTATGGGGAGCTACACACACAAATGTACCATCCTTCTGCTCTTTCACACCTGTAACACTGATGCTCTGAAATGGTTAGGCCTTGAGGAAAACTTGTAAAATTTCCTGAGTATTCCATTAAACAATTCTTAAAATTGTTACTTTAATGGAAAACATGAAATTTTTTCTGATGGAGGCATCCATTTTAGCGTTTAGTGTCTTCAATAACAGAACTACAACCCTAAGAATTTATTACACCATGAGAATGTCTTTGGAGTTAGCATAAGGCTTTCCAGCACAAGGAAAATTTCAAGGCAATTTATCAAGGACTAAATTTTCTTGAACTACCAACCTGGTGGTACATGAATGAAGATAAAAAGAAATATCAAGTTTAGTTGACTATTTTCCAAATAATATGATCTAAAAAATATTGGGGGGAAATAAGGACGTGGGAGTGGGTGTATATTGCATGGTAACAGATGGCTAGAAAAAGGGACTGAGGCTAGCTAGCATTAACTAGTATAAAAGGTATCCTCACTTATTAGCCAATATTTTCTTCCAGTATATAATTACTTCAAGATAGCATTTCTACAAACTACATTGGTTCATTCATTTTTCAAGTCAGATTCCAAAGAAATTTTGATTCTGAATATCTAAAGTTATAGCTGATAGCTTTTTGACATTTATCTCTCAAGTATATATAGTATTCTCAGCCATGACTCTTAAATACATCAATTCTTGATAATATATCACTAAAACAGAACTTATGTTTAAAACAATACTACCTACCTAGAGCTCAAAATAAGATTCATAGCCAACTTAACCAATTTGTAATACTGAGCTCACAAATACAAATGGCCAATTTGTATTATTTAGCTCTCACAGAAACTAGATCCTTTGTCTTTGAACTGATTTAACCAATTCTATATAAAAACAATTACTCAGAAAAATCACATCCTAAGATTTGCACTCATACTCATTTGTAAATATATATTGTGGAGCCTGATTTGGTACTTTTGGTCCACACTTTGGTACCCTATGTTTTCCCTACTAGACGCTTTATTCTATGACTATGACAATCAATGAATGAACTTAAAAGTAAAGCAAAGTTTTAATTTTGATGCAAGTATTTTGTATTCACACCAATAAAAGCTATCATGCTCTTGAAAGAATGGAGAAAACAAAATCACATGTGCTAATCTAGAGTACTGCAGTCTTAAGTAACCCAAACACACAACCATCTCCATTACAGAATTAAGCAGCCAGTAATACACTACAAAACATTTGATTAAAAAAGCTTACAACAAATGCTTTAAGAGGGAAACACTGGTGAAAATAGTTTTAAAATATATACCCTTGGAAAATGATATTTTTAAACTTTAAAACCTTGTTTCAGAAGTTCCTCGTTTTAGGTTGTTACTCAAAAACTCATCATGTTCAAAACTCAAGTTATTGTGAGATCTCGAAATCATAAGAAGCTTCTCCTTATTGGTAAAGTCTTTTTTGATTGCAGCTTGGGGCACCAGCAACCTATCCATGGGGTCCTCTTTGTTCTCTAGTTTCATATATCCCTTGCTGTTGCTTCGATCCAACCGAGGCCAACTTGGATGTTTCCTTTGCTCTGCCTGAACAGTCAGAGTGGAGGGACCCCGGTCCAAGTCTAAGGATTTTGAGTGTGATGAGAGTAAATGTAAAGATGTGTTGGAGCCAAACTGTCTTCTAGCAGCCCCAGGAGACAAGAGCTGTCCGGCCCCAGGCCCAAGGGCCACAGAGGACTTGTACTGAGTGGACAAGGACTCCCCGATGGAATTATTCCTTGGAAGCAGTGTGCTGGCTGGCTGGAAGGATTCACCGGTGTTGGGCAAAGGGACCACAAGGGAATCCATTGACAAATTCCTTGACCTACTTTTGAGGTTATCAGCATCCTCAGTGATGTTGTCTATACTGGGCTCATCAATCACACAGTTATTAAGCTTGATCACAGGCAGTGTAAAAGCACTGATGGATGATGACACAATTGACTTGGTTTCACATTTCTTGGAACTGCTGCTCTTATCCTCCATTGTCTTGGATGGAGGTGGATAGAGGCCAAAGACAGAGACAGAGCTGTCCGAGAGCAAAGGGGGCATGAGATGTCCCAAACTCTTATTTTCACTTAGCATCAGTTCGTCCTCCTCCACGGAGCTGTCCATTCGAAAACTGCTGCGCAAACCTGAGAAAGAGGCAACTGAATTTGTCGCCAATCTTGAGGGACAGGAGCTCCCGTTCTGTTTCACTTCTGATTCTCCCATTAAGCCCGAGTAAATGCCATTCATATGCTTTTGCTCCTTGATTCTCAGCGTGTGGATGTCAATGACTGTAGAGTAGATGTCCCTCATGTGTATGATTTTGGTTTCTTTGTCACGGTTTTCATGAAGAATGGCATTAGCACAGATGAAAATGAAAATGCCAATCCCCATGGTGAAGGGGCCAAGCATTTTCATTTTATCCGAATGCAGATGCTGCTCAAAGAAACGAACTACCACGCCGCCTTGGTTCCGAATCACCTGAGTCTCGTTGGTTGACAATGTTGTCTCAGCATCGATGAAATGTTCCTTTTGGGGCCAATATCCAAGAACGGCCATTGCAATTCCTATGATGGAGATAAGCACTCCTAAAATGAGGAAAAATCCAGATGGGGAATAAAGCCGGATCTTGCCTCGAACAACTACGACATCAGCCCGCGGCCGCCGCCTGACTGGTTTCTGCTCCTGGGCAGCGGGCGATGGACTGAGGTTGACGTGCTGCTGTGATCTGGCAGAGTCTTGCCTTTTCAAGGCGGCCAGGCCGGTTATGACTCCGCCAGTGGCTATCATAGCTCAGCTTTTTACTCTGAAAAGAAAGCAAACACATGATGATCTAAATATGTCCCTGGCTTAGAATGCATTCTTGCAATTCACTGTTCCAAGATCACTATCATCAATGAACTCTCAACAACCACATTTAATGTCCCCGTCAATTTCCATCTTGCTTACCCCTCTGTTTCCATGGATATTACTGGTCTCTCTTTTCTTCTCCAGTTTTTCATGATGCCGGGTCCTCCTGGTTCTACCCTGACCTTGCTGACTGCTTCAGTTTTGGCTCTTCTTCTCTTATCTAAAAGTAGACCACCTTCCCCTAGAGTCCTGTGCTTGGCCACTTTCTCTTCTCTACTGTCCCTCAGCATTCATATCCACTCCTACATCTCCCACCATTTCCTTTATGCCGATGAGTCCCAAGTCTACGTTTTGGTCACATTCTGAGTTTTGATTTCACATTTTCAACTGCCCACTGGGGAACACACCCACATCCACACACTGTTAGCAAAGCTGAGCTCATCTTCCACCGGATACCAGCTGTCTTGCTTGACCTCACTGTTTTAATGGCTCAGTTTTCAAGCCTGGCTCTTTACAGTTTTCCTTAACTCCCCGCTTTCTTCTTCCTTTCCTTTTCCCATTAGCTCTAACTCCTAGAAACGTTCACTACACAAATGTCTCTTAATTCCACCCTCTGTTCCAACCCTCCTCTTCCCAGCTTAATGAAGCTCTAATTCATTCCTATTAGACCATTACAACGACCTCTTAACTAGCCTTCCAGTCTCCAGTTTCCTTTCCGATGATCAAATTTATATACAGAAGGCAGATTACATATCGTATGACACACTTTTGAAATTGTTTAAGAAGTGAAGCAATGGAGAAAATATTCCCCTCTACCTACCAAAATTTTAATCTGGGATTCCAGGTTGAGCTAATCTGAGTTTCCTTTTAAAATGTGCATACAACTAAAACCCATCCAATGTTCCCTATTTCTCATTCATTCTTCATTCCTGAGACTTTTTCAAGACTGTTTCTGTCATTCTGTCCAGATCCCTCCTGCCACCCATCTTCACATATTGACATCTGGCTAGTCATCAAAGCTCATGTTCTACTTCCTTTATAAAGCATTCTCTGATTCCTACCTATATCCACGCATGCTCTCGTTCCTCATAGCATTTGAGCAAGTTTTCTGTGGCACTTGCCATGTTAATGTCTTATTTCTTTCACTTCTTGTGGTTGAACACCAAATTTAATCCATACTTTTAAGATCAGAAACATTCATTGTAGTACCTTGTAAGTACAGAACCAGCGCTTGAGCAACATTTGTTAAAATGCTGAATAAGGGAATAATTCTTTTCTGGGATTTGCTGGATGACCTTCATATTACTCTACTTAACTGATAAAAAATATAAACAAACAAAATTAATATCCCCCCCCAAAAGCAACATTTTAGAACTTGGTAAAATACCTGTCTTGTTTTTATAATAAATAGTTCTCAAGCTGCCAAATTTGTCTCTTAGGGAAACAAAGGATATTTTAAGATCTATGAGGTCTTGGGCAAATTTCCAAGAGGGCATCAAATATCAACTTCCAGATTGAGTTCTCTCTCCTTTTGAATTTCTATTAATGATTTCTGGATTGTGTTTAAATAGCAAGGCTGTGGACAGTATGTACAGTTTTAGCAAGCTGTTGAGTAAATCAAGCCTTCAGTGGAATTATAACTAGGATTAAAATAGTTTAATGTTGGAAGAACAAACTAAATTGTAGCCCCTAGCTCTAGTCGATGAAATTTATCAAAGTATAACACCACATCTTAAAAATATCTCCCAAACCTTGGCTAAAACAAAGCTTAGCGTCGACCTATATTTTCTTGAACTAAAAATCAACTGTTTGAAGAAAATGCTTAGATTAGCTAGCAGCCACCTTATTTCCATATGGCAGGCTAAGGACTCAGTCTGAAATCCTTCTGAATTGATGGATTTCAGAAGGAAATGGAAACAAGAGCAAAAGCCTTTCATTTGGTTTAAAAAGAACCACAGTGAATTGCATTCCTTGCAAATTTCTAGTTCTCTACCACTTGTAAAAACATGGTCTTCTAACGCTGCCACTTTCCATTCCTGAGCTTGATAGAGGAAGTGGGGCTGGAAGAGAAGAAATATTTTAGGTGAGAAGTGGAAAATAGGAAGGACTGAGCTTCTGTGGGGGCAAGCACAGTAAGTAGGTTGGGCTTGAAAGAAGAGAAATGTAGTTTAAGAGTATGCAAATGTATTGGGAACAAAAGAAAGGGGGCTAGGGATGGCTCAGCTGCAGAGTACTTGGCTCCATGTGCAAGGCCCTGGGTTCCATCCCCAGCACAGCAGGCGGACCACACAGTTTCCTTAGCCAGCCTGCCCTGGTCAGGCTCAATCAGAGTCAATAAGGCTCCCCCAGATTAGCAAATTGGGGCTTGGTGCTAATGTCTTCAACACTCCATGAGTCTCACTTATGACCCTGGGAAACAAACTAGATACAAAGGTGAGCAAATTTGGTCACAGCTGCAAGGAGCTTGAAACCTAACAAAAAAGCTCATATGTACATGAAGCAGAATGAGGTAATTCCCAGAATGAAAGCTTCAATTAGGAAGGGCCTTTCCAACTGGCTTCATGTAGGAGACAGCATTTCCACATTTATCACAGTGAAATATCAAGTTAACATCATTTTAGATAAGGTTGAGGGAAAGCAAACAGGCTGGAAAAGAGGAGGAATGTGGCCTGCCTTTCACATGCACATCTCCGTGCTGCAGAGACAAGTAGGTAAACAAGGCTAGATGGGTGGACTGGGTCTTGAAAGATGGCAAATGCATTCTATGTGCTCCACTTTTCCATCTTCAGAGGTGCTGGAGTATGAAGCAAAAACCGCTGTCATTATTTTAGAAAAATTAGTCTCAAGTAGATGAGATCAGTAGTGAGAGACTGACAATGGGAAACCACATGAGGATGCTAGCAGCAGTTTGCCAATAAGAAGCCTAGAGAAACCATAAAATCCAGAGTGAGTGAATCTACTGGTCCTCTGTCTTTAAACTGCAATGCCAATTAGTCCAAAGTGTTCAGCTGGTGCAAAATGAGCCTACATCTACTTCTAAAATTTATTTTGCAAAGCCACATCTCCTCTATCCTATGTCCCCCAATATTTTTTTTTTTTTTTGCTTGTGGGTGTGACTTGGGAGGGTTAGGTATACAGGTCCCATTATCTAGTCTCCTTATTACAATAAATAAATCACAACATTCTTCTAAGTTTTTATAATATCAATAGTAACAACAGCCAACCATACTGCTTATGGTCAGGCATTTTGTAAGTGCTTTAAGTACAAAAATATGTATTCTCACAACAATGCTGAAGGTGGTTATGATAATTATGATCACTATTTTCCAGATGAGAAGACTGAAACTCAGAGTTTAGGTAACTTGCCTATGTTTTTATAGAATCTGAGGTGGGGATGGGCTTCCAAGTTGGTTTTCACTTCAAATTTTCTTTCCCTTGTTTTCCTTATTCCAATTCCTGCTTCCAACATAACACTAGACCCTGAGGAATGCTGCTCTGCCTTTAAAACTAGGACAATAGACCAGAACCAACTTCCATTCCTCAAATTACAAAGACCATCGCTTCTCGGCCTTTTGGCTAAGATCAAGTGTCAAATTACAAAGACCAGGTAATTAAGTCCATGACGGATATATAGGGTTAAAGGTGTAACTTCAGGTGAGTGTTCAGCTTCTTATACCTGTTTCCTGATCCCCTCCAGCATCTAAAGATGCAGCTTCAACAGACCACCTTCCCCTGCTCCATACACCTCATCTTTGCCCTCTGTTTCATAGGGCAGGACAGGGACTCATTTCCTCAAAGGTCCAATTGGAGAATCTTATAATACTGAATTACATTTTGTTATCTTGGGCACAGAGCTTTCACATATTAACCTTGTTGGATCCTGAATCTGTCTTCCAAAATAGTGTTGACCCTCTCAGTGTATGTTCATCTGCAAATACTGTAAACCCTGCCTTCCTTAGCTCTCCTAAGCTTTTGGAAATTGAAGAAAGCATACCGCAAAGCCCTGTGGTACTCCACTAGGGACCTCTCCTCCTTGGTGGACACTGTTAACTGGTTTAGATATTTATTCATGCAATTCATTAGAATGGATACCTGCCATTGTGGAAGTTAGAGGGCTCTAAATAGGTTTCTTGGCCTGAAGAATATAATGATCAGAAACCATCTTTTTGATGAGGCTATTCAACTAGCTATAAATAAACCTAATCAGAGGGTCAGCCACATGCATGTTTCCATATGCTCCCTGCAAAAGATATGATTTTGTCAAAAGCCAAAAGAGAAATATTATATGTATGCATTCATCTGCTGACAGCTAAAACTAAAAAATTAATTTGGATTACCTCTGGGCCACCTGTTGATCGTCCTGTTTTCCATTCTCAGTGCTCATAAACTAGTCTCAATTTTACTAACAATAGGTATCAAGATTACCAGCTTTAAAATAAAAAAAAACATACCCTCTTCCTCACTGTGCTAACCAGGACACTGGTGGGCCATCTTCAGGCCTGTGCCCCCTTATTGGAGTCTGAGACTCATCAACAGGACTCCAGCTCATCTGCAGAAATTCAGTCTCATTTGCCACTTTTGTCACTATAGAGAAATGTAGACTCTCGACCTCATTCAAGAACTTGAACTGTCTACTTTCCTACCTTGGGCTCTCGCATCCTTCTGAACCACGGTTACCTTACCCTTCTCAGCCGAAAGCTCTCTATCCTGGACTGAGAGGATTTCTGCTTGTGCATCATGTGGAATACAACATCACACACAATCTGTTCGAATCTTCAGGCTTATCCTCTCCTATTCTTGCTCTAATAGTTTTTAAAACCCTTGTTATCCTTAACCTTTTTCATAGGCCTAAGTACATCCTGGAATGTGCTTTTCATGGCACTAACTCATGCCAGGTTTTAGTATTGTCACATTCCTGGAAGTTTATTCCAATATACTTAGGTCCTCTTCTGACCACATTGACCTAATATTCTGACCACATTGCAAGCCTATTGCATATCAGACATGGTTCTAGCTGCATCCACACATTTATATCTGAAATAATGACAATTAAACAGACTGGCAAGTTTTGAATCCAGATATTTCCTCTAGCCAACCAGAATGTTGTCCAAGACCAAATACTGAATTAGCAAAAAGAAAAGAGTTGGAATGCAAAGTTTCAGACTCTGGGTCCAGGGTTCATTCTTGGCTATCTGTTCCTCTATCTGTTGTTTTGCCTTCTAGCCCAGTGCTTAGCAGAGTTCCTGGATGTAATAAATGCTCAGTAAGTATCTGTTGGCTGGAAATAGATTTGAGAAATGCTTCAATATCACTGAAATGTGTAAAGCATTAGGAGCACAGTTAAGAAGATCCAGTCCTTGATTTCAAGGAGTCTGGCATCTGGTGGGAGAGCAGTCAAAATAAATGTCTAAAATGAAGTGAACTAACTGCTGTGATGGAGTTTCAGAGGTGCCTCTGAATGCTCTCCACAATCTGGAGGAATCAGGGCAGGCTTCCTAGAAGTGGTGACAGTTAATGGAGGCATGGTACTCCAATAGGTGTGTGCTCTGCAGACAGAGTCTCCTTAATCCTTGTTCCTGACTGCTGTACACGTGTCCCTGCTCTATGGTTCTTCATCATCTCCTTTTAAGTGGGCCTATTATTTTAAATATAATTGATATTTATATATTTGAATTTCTATCCTTATTCAGAAGTTAAAAAACTCACCAGAATGCAAGACTATCTGTCCAAAGGAAATACAATTAATTTATGCCTTCAGGACCAAATAAAAACATTATATAAAACTCCATGTGGTATCCACAAATGTGACAGATGGATATATTTTCTGTTCAAGCTACAACAGTTTTAGGACTTTCTTCCCAGTAGAGACATTTTAAACTTTTAGAATAGGATTTTTTTTTAATCTATATTCTTACCAGAGTTGAAAGAGAAAATGCCTATATAGTTCAATCTCATAAAGTTTAAAAAAATAAGAAGAGGAATCATCTTTTTCACATACAGCATGATGGCTCTGCATATGGACGGAACACTGGAATAAGAGAGATGGGATCCGCTTCCTTGCTTCATCATTTGGTAGCCATGGAGCCCTGGAAAAGTTGTTTTAAACTATTCTTATCTCAGTTTCTCCATCTGTAAAATGGCAAAAGGCTTCTTTAATACACAGTAGATTGTGCTCTGGAAACACAAGACCTGGGTCTGTTGAATAACTGCACACCACAAATAACAGCACTTGTCCAATTCACCAAACTCTTGGAGCCTCAGTTTTCTTACCTGTAAAATAGGGCTACAACGGTTGTTGTAAAGCAAAGGAGATAATGAAGGCAAAAGACAGCTCAATATCTGGCAATTAAGGTCTACATTAGTGATGCTAGCAGTCTCTGATTATAAGTCTTTTCAAGGATAAAATGAAGTTTTACATACATATATACACATATATACATACATTATATGGGTATATATACATATACTTATTGTATACATATTTGTGTGTATATATGTAGTATTTACTATGGTTTGATTATAATAAAATCTCAAAAAACAATAGCTGCATTAACACTTCATTACTCATATTATTCTTTCATTGCTCAGCTAGGCAAATAAAAATATTTTGGCTGGGAGTGTAGCTCAGTGGTACAGTACTTTCGTAGCATGTGTGAGCCCTGGTTTCAATCCCCAGCACTAACACACTCTCTTTCTCTGTCTCTCTCATTTTAAGTTAAATGATTAATGATGACTCACTGTACTTGGAGCAACAGTTATGACTACGAATTTGTATAGGGACTTAGAATTAAAAAGAGAATGGAGAATGTGCATTTAAGTGGTGGAAGCATCAATAATTTGGTAGTTGCAAAGTAGAGTTTACATAAGAAAGACAGTTGGGAGATAAAGATAAAATAGAGCATGGCTATTTTTTAATTCATTCTCTCTTCACATTTAGAGGTTTGGCTTATAAAATCATAATGGCAATAATAAAATCAAGGTAAGAAAACCCAAACTGGTTTATCTGATGATTTTACTTGCATTAATAAAGCAACTGGATCAAATGCATGTGCATGCATGATCTGATCAATTCTGCAAGCACCATTCTGTTGCCATTGGGACACTTGGGCACAAAACAG